CCCCCCCCCGAGCCCCGCGGTAGGTGAGTAAGAGCCGCCGTCCCACGGGTGACTCATGCGTGGGCCCCCCCCGGACCCTCCCGTGCCCCTGGGGCGGCTCTCCCGGGGCTGCACACACAGCCAGGGCCCCCCTCCTCATCAAAAGTGGCTTTCCAAGACCAAAATCCTATTATTACTTTTTTTTGGGGGGTGCTGAAAACAGAAGTATCTTCCCCTAAATTCCAATGTTTTCTATCAAACCCATCCTCTCTCTTTTCTCCCCCCCCCCAAAAAAAAACCCAAACGTGGGAAAAAATGCCCCAAGTGGCTTCAAGCCCCCACCAGCTTGGGGTTTGTCCCCGGGGGTCCTGGGCAAGCCCAGCGGTGATGGCGTGTCCAGTCGTGCCACCAGCATCACGGTGAAGCCGTCCACCGGGGTATCGCACCCCCCAACCACCATGCCCGGTGCCTCCTCCTGCCCCCCCCACCCGGGACTCGGTGGCACCAAGAGCTTTGCGGACCCCCGGATGGGTGGTGGGACCGTGGGACAGCAGGTCCTGCTCGTGGCAAGGCCACCGTCCCCGAGTCGTGGGTTGTCCCCAGCTGCGCGTCCTTTAGGTCTGCTGAGATTTGGGGGGCAGGATGGGGGGGGCAGTGGGGTGCCCTGAAAGCACCGGGGGGGGGGGATATGCCTGGGTTGTGTTCTCCCCCCACCCAGCAAAGGGGACACGGAGGGACCTGGTGACCCTGACCCTGAGGTTGGGATGGGGCTGGGAGCCCCGAGGCTGTGGGACCGCTGCTGTGGCTGAGGTTTGTGGGTGACTCTGGGGGCTCAGAGCTGGGACACACACCCCCCCCCCCTTTTCCAGCCCGTGGGGACATCGTCCAGTGGCTTTCCCCGTCCCTTTGCTCCCAGTCCCAGCTCTGCGCCCTGCGTCTCCTCGGCTGTGAGGACAGGGACATCTCTCCCTGCAGGGGACGGAGCGTGGGGGGACAGAGCCGGGGGTGGCAGGGGACATGCGGGTGGCCCAGGGTGCTCCTCCCAAAGGGGTGACACCAAGAATCAGCCCCTGTCCCATAGCACCCGTGAGGGGGGGTGCTGAGCCCCGCAGCCACGCAGGGACGGGGTGGGGGGGTGATGCTGCGTGGGAGTCGCTGCGGGGCTCCGAGGTGTTGGGCACCGGCCGAAGGGACTGCACGGATTAGCAAATAAAATAAAAAAAATTTTAAAAAAGCAAGCGGGAGGGAGACAAAACAATGCCTTTTCCCATCGTCCTGTTTTTTGGAAGCTTCTGAACTGTTTTTGTTGAAATTTCCCAAAAATGTCAGCCTCCGGGAGCCACCCAGCCTGAGAAACTTCAGCCCCAGCGTCCGCAGTCTGGCCGAGTGAATCACGGCTGCCCCGGGGGCCGGCGGCCGCCCGCAATCCTGACCCACCGCCCGGATCCCCCCCCACACCCCGAGGGAAGCCACCCTGGGGTGGGAGCCAGCGGTGGGTGCTGGAGGGGGGGCAGTTGGAGGAAGGGAAAGAGAAATCCCCCCCCCAGAGCCGGAGCTGGGACCAGCAGCCGTCCCAGCTGCCCACCTGCGCTGCCTGCGTGGCCGCCTGCCTGCACGGCTGCCTGCCCGCATCGCTTCCCCCATCTGCCTTCTCCTTCTCCCGGCCAAGCTTTTCAGCTTCCAGCCGGAGCCCACAATAAAACGGGATTTAGCGCGGCTGTTTTGGGGAGCTGGGATGGGTGAATTCCCACAGGGATGGGGGTGACACCAATCCTGGCGCTGGGAGAGGGGACACGGCCGGCTCCGGCAAGGGCAGCATCGGGAGGTGGCTTGAGGCTTTGCTGGGGGGTCAGGGGGAAGGTGGGGGGACAGTGGTGTCGGGAGGAGAGGGGAGCGTTGGTGCCCACTGGTGTCACCTGGGACGTGTCCGGGGTGTCACCCCAGGTGGCTCGGGGACGTTCGCCCTCCCCGACCCACGGCAGAATCCAGACCTGATTCTGTGGGATGGGGACAGGGTTGGGGGGACGACACAGAGCCAGCCCTGAGCGAGCCCTGCCGTGCCGGTGGGTCCCCAAACCCGGGCAGTTGCCGGGGCGGTGTCAGGATCCGGCCGGTGGCAACGCTGGGGAGCAGCCGGCGATGACAGAACCGCTCTCCCGTTTTTCTGAGTCAGCGTGGGGGGCAGATGTGGTCAGCGCTGCCCTTTGACAGTGACCTTTAAAGGGCTGCTCCCTCCTGCCCACCAGCCGCCGCGCTTGCAGGCACCGGCCGGGAGGCAGGATCCGGCCCGGCACCCCCATCTGACCCCCGGACCCAGCTGTCGGCGTCAGCGTGGTGATCCCGTGGGGCTGGCGTGGTCCGGCTGCCCCCCCCGGCGTGGCTCCGTTCCCAGGGCCTCTTTGCCCTGTTGCGGTGCAGGATCTGGCCATGGGGCCCAGCTCCCAAACGGTGGAGCCCACACGGCCGTGAGCTCCCTGCTCTGCCCGGGTGGGATGTGACCCCCCCCAGACAGATCCAGGCCCCCCGGAGCGGTGATGTCCCCAAACCCGGGCTGAGCATCCTCAGTCCGGCTTCCCACCAGCCGTCACCTTCCTGCCAGCCCTCCATCATGTGTCACCGGGGCCAGGCCCAGCACATCTACCCTGAATTAATCTAATTACTTGATTTCCCAGCCAGAGCTCGCTCCATAAAGTCCTTGGACAGAGACAGCATCTGGCTCAAGGGCCAGGGTGTAAAAAACAAACAACAAAAAAAACCCAAACCCCCAGAAAAAGCAGGAGGAGAGGCGCAGCGGAGCTGCCTCTGACTGCCTGCATCCTTTTAAAGTGACCTGGGGGAAAAATAAAGAGGCTAGAAATGCAAAGAATCCAGCAGTCAGAGTTTTCTTTATATTCCTCTCAGTCACATTTCCACATCCATGGGTAATTTATAACCCGCTTAACCCCTTCCCTGCCACCCCCCCAGCACAACCCCTTCGCTCAAGAGCATCCCTCGCAGCGGGGCGGCCGCACCTTCCCACCTCTGTTTGCTTTGGGAAGCACAAAAAGTCCCGCCGCGGAGTTTGCCGATCTCTAGAGAGGGGAAAAAAATGCCGTTGATGTCGAGGGGGTGCTTGAGCACAAGGGATGGGCTCTGTGGGGTTGGGACACGGGGTGATGGGTCCCCGGGCCACGGGGGGACGACGAGGACGCGCCGGCCAGCGTGGGGGGAGCCAGCGGCTTCACAAAAGGCTCCAGAAAAAAAAAATGTAGGTCAGTAGTGATAAATGCAAAAGGCATCGAGTGTTCCTGGCGAGGGGAGGAGGGAGGGCGGTAAATATTTGCCAACTCGAATATTATTGCCTGGGAAAGGGTTTTTTCTATTAAAAGGTGAGTGGATGGAGCATGGGCCGGCGCCAGGCGTAGTGCAGGCAGGTGCGGTGGGACCGTTGCCCACCAGCCCACTCAGCCAAGGGCACGGTGCTCCCGGCTCTCCCGGCACTCGATCCGGTGGTTTTTGGTCCCTCTGGGGGTCTCGGCTCCGGCTCTGTCCCTCCCGGCCGCTGGAAACCTCACCTGCAGCGCAGCGCCGTGATTTATGGTGACAGCCCCCAATCTATCCCATTTACTTGGCCATTAGTCACCGGTGCCGGACACGAGGCCGAGGGGCTGGACGGGCTCCAGGAGGGGGAAGGGGGGAACGAAGCCGACCTGGCAGCCCCGCCAGCCCGGCCGGAGCACATTTTCTCCCGGCCCTGGTTTGATTAACAAGATGAATAAGTTGGCGGAGCGCAGCGGGGCGAGGAGAGGCCCCACTCCCTGCTCCCGGGGGGGGGGGCATGGGGCTGCGCTCCCCCAGCCGTCCCTGAGGGGATTCGGCCGCCTCCAACCCTCTCCCCTTGCCCCAGGGTGTGGAGCCCCCCCCTCAACCCTGAGCTGGGACCGGGAGACCCCCCCCTTCCCTGTGCCGGGGTCCTGCCATGTGTTCCCTATTAGGGCTGGAGGTTAGCGAAGCCCCCAGCCCTCCTCCTCCTCTTCCTCCTCCCCCCTGGCCCGCTTTGGGGTGCTGCCATAAATAAGGCTAATGGGCAGGGCAGCGGCGAGCGCGGGGCCAAGCCTGCGCCTTTTATGTCTTTTAAACCCTGGGAAATCAAAGCTGTAAATCTGGGGTGTCAGGGAGAGCCCAGCGCCCTGGTTGGGAAGGGGCCCCGCGGAGCCGGGGTGCGGGGTGGGATGCACGAAGGTGACCCGGGGAGAGGACCCGAGGGCTGCTGGGGGGGGCTGGCACGCCTGGGTCGAACGCTGGTTGGGGACAAGGGGCACGAGGGTCCCTATGGGGGTGCTGGCTAGGGGGTCAGTGAGGGTCCGGTGCTGCTTGTGCTCCCAGCGCCAGGGCAGCCCCGTCCCTCTGCACCCCTCTCTCTGTGTGCCGCCAGTGCCAATGTGCCCCCCGCTCTCCACATCCCCCCCTCCCCGTCCCCCCGCCTTCCCCAG